GCAGTTTGAAGTGACAATAACAGGAATGGTTGTACGATATAAAGGTGTCTGTTTAAGTGCACGCTGCCAGCCAGCGTGATGTTTTCTCTTAGATTTATTAGATGCATTATTAGTTGCATGAAAGTCATATGGTTTAAAACGTTTAATGAATGAATTACTGTATTTTATGCGATTTGTGATCATATTTTATTAAAATTAGGAATGAAAACATGACTTATTAGATGCAATATGTAGATGCAGGAAAAAGGTAGCCCAGATGTCAAACAGGCCGCCAAGTTCATTAAACAAGCAGGGATAGACACGTTAGGCATGGATAATTGGATTGCAACAACGCTAGGCTGATCCAGGACAGGTTGACTTGATTCAAGGATGGGAATAGAATTGATCTTACAGTCATACTCAACAAGTTCAAACAGTATTCGTCAACTATCATAAGGAAGGGAAGAAAGAAGGAAATTGCAACACGTTCGCCACTGATGACTGTGATTCTTGGCCATATCCGATAACGTTTCGAGCTATCTCTCGGACCCTAACCAGGGAGTCGTGACACACCAACCGATGCGAATTTAGCACAAATATCTTTCATCCCACGACGCCACGTCATGGACTGACCACATCTCCGCCCTTTCCACCCCGTCCAAGGACTGGCTAGCGAACAGAGATCTGTATGGAAGCCTTTGGGATGACATTCGCAGCACATGTCCAAACCACCGGAGCCTGTGTTTCCAGATGACGACACTCAATGAGTGGTGATCTCCACTGTGTTCAAACACACGCCACCGAACCTCAGAATTACTCACGCGACGATGCGATCTAAAGCAAGCAATCCCGCGGAGACAGCGATGATTGTACATGGAGAGCCGCCCCACATCCTCAGCTCGGAGAGGCCAGGTTTCACAGGCGTAGAGCAAGGCAGCCGGTACCGAAGCATTTTACACCCGACCTTTGACAGCCAGGCTAACGTCGCGACGGCGCCATAAGTGACTCAAATTGGTGTATGCTACCCTAGCCTTCGTTATACGGTTAGAAATCTCATCAATCACCCCCCCCCGCAAGCACTCACACAACTACCCAGATACACAAACTTATCGACAACTTCAAGTAATCACATTCTAGATACAGCCTCCTGCCAATCTTGTTAAAGTACTTTGCACTTAGGCGGCACAAAGCACATACCATACTTACAGGCACTGATCGCTAAATGATTGAGTGAGATTCGTGTAGCCTGCATGCTATCGCACAGTAAGACGACATCATCTGCATACTCGAGTTCGAAAAGTCTTTCTCCAGGGAACAGATCTTCAACACCCTCATGCACGTCCTTCAGAGCTGACTCCAGAATGTTATCGATAGCAAAGTTAAAGAGAAATGGGGAGATTGGGCGACCCGGTCTAACCCCACTGTTGGTTGGGAACCATGATGATATTTGTTTGTATACCTACACTCTACCTGAGATGTTTCTGTATAGGGCTTTCAGGATGTTCACATACTTCTCAGGTACACCCATCTCTAACGGACAGTTTCAGAGAACAGTTCTGTCCAACGAATCGAAGGCAGTCCTAATATCAAGAAACACAACGATTGTTGGAAAGGAACACTGAAAACCATCGAATCAAAATCCCATTGATCAACAAACATTCCGAAGAAATGCAGATGAATCGGACACACACTGAAGAGGCCATTGAGTGAAATGAAGTGCCAAGCTCTTGTGTCGGACACGAATAATAAAATGACGAGTTTGGCGTGTGTCCGAGAGTGGTATGAGGGAGAAAGCGTGCGAGAAGGGGATAAGAACTTTCAGGCGATCGTGAAGCCTAGTAAAGAGGACTGCAAAGAATGGAATGTAGTGGAGATGTGTGCTGCTGCTGCTGCTGCCTTATGTTCCAACACAAGGAACCCAATAAATTTAATAAATATAAGTAGTATTAAAGAATTTAACACAAAAATAACTGTACACTAGTTGCAAGTAAATAATAATAAATTTTTTTCATTCCACGATTAATACATGTGCTTAGTTTACCAGACAGCCTAATTAAGAGAGATTATAAAAGTGTAAAATGAATGTTCAATACGAAGACTCTGTCTACGTTTTATAAGTAGCAATGTGATTGAATTTTTAATGATGAATTTCGAAAGAAAGCTCCAGAGTTCAAGTTCTCACACACCATGAAGCCCAAGTATAGGTACAGGAGAAAAAAAAAGGAATGCAAAGAAATCTTAATAAACAGAAATTTATGGTAGAAAGGGAAAATACATGGGGAATAATGAGTGCTTAATGAATCGAGGAGTGAATGCATCTGTAACATAGAAAATAATTTTGAGCCATCATCCACATCATCTAGGCAGCAGTTATTAGCGTCTTGAGGTCTTTAACCAGCCAGTCTACACTTTCCCACTTGATTCAAATAAACAATCAAAGACTTTATGAAATTATGCCATGTTTTAGTTTGGTCACCTCCACTGACTGACTGACTGGTTTCAACACAGAACTTTGCACTGATGTGCAGCAGTTTGAGTCACCACACTCCCTCCATGTACCACACAAAGCAAGAGAAGATAGTAAAACGAAATACAAAAAAGAAACAATAAACAGTGATATGAGGAAAAAAGAATAGCAATATCGAAGAACAATAGAGTTTTATTGGATGCTATAAATCACAAGGAGTGAATGCATATGTGCTTGCCGTTGGAAACGATTCTGAGCCATATCACCAACTGTCCCCAGCTTTCATTGGTTCTTATCATCCCAAAAACCCCAACCAGTCAGGAAGTTTACACACCCGTACGTGGCTTAGACTAACTGTTATGGATTTCATTGACTGATGAAGTCACATTTCGGTTTGACCACCACTACCTCTTTTTCAAACTCCTCAATCCTATGTTAGCTAACATTGTTTGTCGAGGAAGATGCTGGCGTACGGTAACATATATCCTAACCACCTCAATTGATGTAACTTCACAGCCTCGCCAATCGATTCCCCCTCCTTACCTACCAGTTGACCGATGCCTTACCTCAATATTGCTCATCCTATTATACCACTTAACACGGGAGACAGAACTCAGGCACCTATGATCAAAGACAGCTGGCCAGCCTGTTCATGTCTTCCACTCTCAATAGCCATGTCTCACCGCTGGCCAGAAAGGAGGATGGAGCGGACTGCTGGGCGCTACACGCCCTTTGGTTGCAGCCGGCCGGATTTCACGTCTACTAAGCCAGAGACGGCGTAAACTGGCATATATGGAACGAGTCTTCTGTATCCGTGTTTAGATTTCGTCAGTGATCAACCCTTCGGGCTGGCTGATGCAACTTCCCAAATAAGTGAAGTGATCGCTTCCAGCTCTTTACCAACTCAATTCTATGTTAGCTAGCTCTGTTTGACAAGGAATGAGATGACTCGAAATTCTTAAAGAGCACCCTAACCATATAAATTGATGCAGTGGAAGGATTCCAATAGAAAGGTTTGTAATAAACTAGAGACATGAGCATTAAAAATGTAAGGGTTGAAGGGGCACGCCATTATTACAAAACAAAATTCGTCTTTATAATAAATTAAAAACAGAAAGGCACTTTTTTAATGTTTGACGTCTGACCAAGGATTGATATCAGTTAGAGAATCATTGAAAACACGGGAGTATAGAACGACTGTTTCGTCCCAGTTTGGAATTCCTCAACAGTACGCATACACTTAGACTTGAATCTAGGACCTTCCGGTTGCAAGATAAGCTCGTGGACCATTCAGCCACTGGGATCCTATTAAATGCCTAGCTCATCAATTCTTTTTCTCACTTGCCGAACATTTTCGATCCCTGTTCCTACGATTAAAGGACGAAATTCTGTGGACTCTACTTCAAACTGTATCTACAAGTTCACCTGCAGCTGCGGTGACACCTATATAGGTAGAACTAACAGAATGTTCCAATGTCGTCGAAAAGAACATATTCCAAAATGGCTAGTAAATCATATCGAAAATCCTAACGCGATTAATCTTAATAGAAATCCAGCATCATCCATTGCAAAACACTTATTAATGTCTGGTCACAAAATAAATATTAATGACTGTTTCACAATTATTTCACATAACTCTAATTCAAGGTTATTGAAGGTGATGGAAGCACTTTGGATTAATCACATACAGCCTAAACTGTGTGTACAAAAATCAATAGACTTCAATCTTCGCCTACCCTGGACTGCATGACCTATCTTAATATGATTGGTCATTAGTATGTACTTTTGTTTTTATTTAACTGAGTAATTTTCATGAACTTTATTTTATCATTGTTAACCATGTTAGTTGTAAAGCGGTTGTAAAGAAACTACGAAATGATATCATCTCGCGAAATTTGTCTTCTCAATGCCTTGTTCAAATTCTAACTTCTGCCTATTCGTGACTAGCTACAGGACGAAGTTACCAGGATTTCTAGTGAGAATTCGTGACCAGTGGGTTCCATTGGGTCAGGAATAAGGATGAAGTCTCACCGATTACATTGATTGGTGGTCACGCTTAAATCACGCATTGGTAGAAGTTAGAATTCATGGACTTGCCACTGAGTCGAATCTTAGTGGCTAAATAGTCTACGAGCCGGACTTGTAACCAGAGAAGCCTCGATTCGAATTTCAGTGGGTGCATATTACTGAGGTGTTCCAAACTAAGGTGAAACAGTTGTCCAGTACTCCTTGCTGTTTTTCACTGGTTCTCTAACCGAAATCAATAAACGGTCAAATGTGAGGCAAATCAAATCTCTACAAACCAACACTTAAACATCCTGTTTTCATTGATTTTTTGCTATTTAATACTAACAACGTTGACCATTTCTGACCGTATGTATATAATAGGGTAAGTAATAGTGAAGTCAGAAATAGAGTTTTAGCTAATTTGTAGAAAAATTCAGCAGGAAAACTTCAGTTATTTATAAAAAGACTAGAGCTGAGGCATCTATCTATACAGATTAAAAATTCTTACTAATAATGATATATACAACGCATAAAATAACAAGCTTACTAAATTGGCAGGTCTATCAGTTGTCATCCAACGACGTATATTTGGTCCATAAGCAGCATCAGCAATAATACCGCATAATATTTCTACAAGCATACCTAAACCATATCCTTTATAACCACCTTGATTCAGAAATGAAAAGAAAGGAAATTACAGAACGATATGAAACAAAATCAGATACATTTATAAGTGCATAAGATACTTCTTTCTATTCATTGAGAATAACAACAAGGAGAAGACACCAACAAATTTGATAGTTAACCTTTAGAAAATCATCTACAAGTAATTTCATGATGTCACTGTGTAGCAGGTAACAAATTCATTAGTAAGATAGAAACTGTATTCTTCTGTTCTTTCCATTTGAACACTATTTTTTTTTTGGTTTACAGCTTGATTCCACACCGTATTTTATGGTACATGTATGAAATTTTCAGCATGTGATATAGGTAGCCCAAATTTTGCAGGCCGACCATAGATATCAGGTGTGCGCCGGCAGGAGATCGAACCTCGGACCATGTGCGTGGTCGGCGAGAGTTCAAACCACTGTGCCACCGACGCACAACTTATGCTACTTGTTATTCTACAGCAGATTGTTTTATAGCCGCCTCTTTCCTCGATGTGTAATCTTAGCTGACATAGAGGTGGATTGGAAAAGATTACGGGGGTAGTCAAACCAAAGAACCTGAGATGAATCCATGAAGACTTTGGCACTTGGTTTAATACACGTAGGAAGGTATAGACTGTATGATTGGGGTCCTTAGGATGCTAAGAAGCAAGGACTAGAGACTATTTGTGTGAAATGGCTTAAGATCGTTCTCAACGGCTCAATCACATTCACTCTTTATGATTTCCCATATCTCTTAAACCTTCATATTGTCCATGTAACTATTCTTTCTCACTCACATTACTACATATAACGGTTCTTTAGAGCCTTTTTTTCTATTTTTCCCATCTTTGTGTGTTGCATGGAGTGTGGTTAATTGAATTACTACAAGTGTGTGTAAAGTTCTATGTTGAAACTTAGTCAGTAGTAAGTAAGCTTCTTTATAGTCGTCCCATCTGTTGTCATTACTGATATACATGTTTTTTTTAAAATTCTTGTATGTTTCCAGTGGAACATAGGGGTTCAAACTAAAGGCTTGAAGTTTCGGTAGCAGTGGTGTTCATTTTTACAGGATGGGGTTGCTAGCCTCATGTCCAACCCTCCCCTCTTTACCAGTCTTATTACTGGCTTAGCGAGGTAAAGGACTGCATTGGCAGGGGCTTGGTCCCCGGACCACAGACGTGGTTGGAGAGCATTCAACCACTGTACCATCAACGTACATACTACTTCTGGTTAATTTCTTTTATGTCGAAATCTTTGAATTCTTCCACTTTTTTCTATTAAGACTATTCATTAAATTATATTACAAATCGTGAAACCCTTTTAATAGTTCACCACTTCTGACATAATTCCAGAATTCTATTACTTAAAATTAGTAAAAAATAACTCGTTGTTTACGTGTTAAAAGTACTTGTTTTAAAAACACTTTACAGTAATTTATTATTCATGTATTTAAGTGTTAGTTTGCAGGGGTTTGATTGCTCTCAGGATTTCATCATGAACGTATTTCAGTTAAAGAACCATTGGAAAACCCGGGGGTGGGGGTACTGCGTAGTTGTTTCGTCCTTGTTTGGGACTCGTCGGTAGTACGCGCCTGCTGAGGTTCGAACCCAGGACCTTCTGGTTATAAGATGAGCTCGCAGACCATTTAGATATTATTTAGGCCGTAAGCAGTCAAGAAGTCAAAAAAAAAAAACAATAAAACATGAGCTCATACTATTCTGATACATTTATTGTCTTCACTTTCTGTAGATTCATATTCTTCAGTTGCACTGATAATAAGATTGCATATGTACTACAGATTGATAATTCTATACACAGATTCAAACCGTTATACACAAAAAGATGTTAATTCTAACATGATCATCAGAGAAACTTTAATACCTGCTGAGTTGAAGTGCATTTGTGCGTGTGTCTGTGTGTGTGTGTATGTTTAATGTTTATCCCAATTAGATATTTGAAAAATCAATCAAAAAATGTAGATGTATCTTTAAAAATAGTTTATCAAATATCAAGTATTCGAACAGACTAATTATCATTCTAAGTGTCAATCATTTTAGCCAAAATAGAATTAATTTTATGATTATGATGCTGGATGTATTATCATAGATATGATAAGGAAGATTTGTAGCTGAGGTGGATGATTTTGATGTGGTTGTGTTCTCTGAGCTGGATAGTTAATTTGCGAAGTTTTCATCGCCCTACTAGGCGACATCTTCAGCGCATACTTCAATTTGTTGAAGTGAGCTTTTAGATTTTGCCACGAATTTATAAGCCATCTCCTCTGGTGAGGGACCTTGAATGTCGAGATTGGTTATTTTTGTGTGTTTACACACCCTCTAAGCTACTTGTATTTTTATAGGCGTTGATTCTTTCTTTGACTAGAACTTTGACCTTTTGTGTATCAGGTTTCTTTCTTATCGGCTGATAAATTTTGTCTATCTCAATGTGTCTGTTGATTGACGATTCACTGGAATACCAGGCTGGCTTCTAAAAGTTCTCTAGCATTCTTATTATTTCCTCTGTCTAATATTTGAACGCTGGTTGTCCCAGTCGACTCGATGTTCGTGGTTGTCTGTATGTAGTGATATGAGGTAGCTCAGAGAACACAACCACATCAAAATGTATTATCATGTAAATAATATAACCCCTTTACTGAAAAACATATGGGGAGAAGAATTTATGTTACGAAGCTCTTAAGGCTCAAAAACACCTTTATCAATCTTATGACTTTATATAGTCCAATAGAAGCAGGTATATGTTTAATAAGACAAACCTAGTGAAACGGATAACTGATAACTACTGAATATAACTGGAGTTGTGGCTGATTGGTGAAGGTGGACTACAGATACAAAAATGAAGTAACTTTGGCCTACCAGACTTTATACACAATAAGTGTGACTCATTTCCTAGTTTGGTTTACACTCAGCAGGTTGTTGAGGTGAGAGGGGGGAGACAGAGAGGGGCAAAGCACCACGAACTATCAATCAGCAAATGACCTCGAATGCACCAGTCACGTGAAGGAGGCACTTTTGTGTATGGAATACATATACATTCAAGGGAAAAAAAATGAATAGAAACTGTGGAAAAGTGTTAGAGAAGATACTTGCCTGTCACATGTGATAAAAATACCTCTTAGCTTTTGGTTGGAGTATCAACACAGTATGATTCCATTGTGGGTAAAATTTATTTTGACAAAGTCTCATAGTGTGAAACAGTAATATTTACTGGGCATTAAATTATGCTCGAAACGTGGTCATCAGTAAATATTACTGTATAACACTGCGAGACGACTTTATCAAAATAAATTTTACCCACAATGAAATTATATTCTACCACCACAGTGAACAAGTTCTATTCATATATCAACAAAGTAATTTAACCACATTATATGCATGTAACTGTTTAGCTCTTCTAACCCTAACGATAACCCTAATCTTTCCTGAACCTAACCACAACGTGAAAATATCCCTAAACTAACTGTAATCTAACTCGAACCAACCTTATTGTCACCCTAACTAGTCCTTGGCTTACAGAGTAACTCAATCTTTGCCAAACCTAGGCTGAAACTTCCCAGATATCCCATTTAGTAGCATAACACTTCGATGAGCATATTTTTATTGATGATGACAACATTATTTGCCAGGTTTCACTAACTTGTTCAGTGAGCGTTTGTTGGTCATTGGTGCGGTCGAGCTCCACTGGTAGTTAGTGGTGCTTAAAGTTTAACTTGACCGGAAAGAGAATAACACTCATTCCACTTTTTATAGTAATGAAATCAAATGAGTTACAGCGTGTTTCCCACTATCTTTGATCCTGAACATCTTGTTCGACATATTGTAGTGGTCCTTCGAATACCAGTCGAAGAGTTGTCATGCAAGAAAATATTCTCACCCCAACATAACTAGACTTCATCCTACGATACCAACTCATGAATTGATCAACTAACCACTTCCTTCAATTAGTCTCAAGAGTGCTAAACAGTGTATGTTATGAAAGCCTTTCGGGTGAAAGTTGAAACACACAAGTCAGTGCCGCGAGACTACTTCCTCTATGAGTAGATTATAGCCTCATTGGATAATTTCAAACGGAATACACTGCGTGCATTAACACACAATCACATAATAAGCTGGGAGAGGATTTAAATTCTGCCTGGTTCATCGAGTCTACACCGAACACGTGCAATAAGAGTGACTCATCACACAAACCGGAAATATGGAAAATACTACTATCAATCATCAAGTCAAGCGATGAAAAATAATGGAATTATTTAGACGAAGTTAGAAGGTTGTGTGAGTACCTTGATTTAATATGATAGTGGCAATGAATTGAGCTCGTAACGTGGTCATCAGTAAATATTACTGCATAACACTGTGAATTTATCAAAATAAATTATACCCATAATGAATACGATGGGTTTAACTTTACACAGTGAAACATTGTAAACTCAACTTTTGGCCACCATACGATAATTACATCACGGTGTTAAAAGTGCTTATCAATAATCGATAATATGATTGTCTAGCTTTCCAGGTTTGGCTGAAAATTTCATCCATATTACTGTTTTATTGGTACCCACACAGTACACTAGATGTACAGAGTTTTCGAATACCACAATTTGGGTAATTTGTATATTACAGAGGTCAGCCTACTGGAAATCTAGTGTAGTATCAGCATACGAATTTTCACAGTCATTCTCGATGTAATTGGTATTTTTTCTTGCTTAATGCACATACATTCGCGTATAAATAATTCTTAAAGTATTGTCATAACATTATTATGCACAGATCCATTAATTCACCATATCAAAGATGACCTTAGATTCCCGCTTTTTCCGATCCATAACATAATCCCTTGATTTATTTTCATGATGATGTCTATAGCATAACGGTGACTTACATTTCCACACACAAACATTCACAAAAATTATAGGTCAAATTGTCTGAGAACCTTACAGTATCAAAAATCTATTTAGCAATATTTAGCGATAAGAGGACGTAATTTGTCTGAATCGTGTAATGCTGTATTTGCGCAACACTAATTTCAAACAATCCGATGACACACACACACACACCAACTTGTCATAGGAAAATACATATGAAATTAAGAAAAGAGTTAAGAAGTGAGAAAATAAATTTACGTCAATTTAAAAGGACATATTGCAGGTCAAATAAAAAAAAATGAAAATCATCACTAAACCTAATAACGGAGGTAATAGTACATCTACCCTGGCTGCTATCAAAACAAATTTTACCAAGGAACTTCGTTTTGATCGCATAAAAGGTGGTTTAAACTGCCTGATTGCTAGCTAGGGCTCCCGCAAACATTAGGATACGCCCCAAATACGTTTTATAGATAGGTTTAAAAGACCTGTTAACGTCTCTTGTATGTCCTGTCTCTATAATATGTTTCTCAAAAGAGGAGCCAGGTCTCCTGTTCTCACGATCAATGGATTCTGAAGATTCTATTTGTTTCTGGAGCCATTTTGGAAGATGCTGTGAAGTCCTTACTTTCAGAAATCGATGAGTCTCCCCTATGTATGTGTGTCCACACGTCCATTCAAATAGATAAATTCAGTGGGATGTGACATCAGTTTTCTCATGTTCGAAGGGCTTAGATAGATATATTGGCTTCACATTCTCAATTATTATGTTATTAGCTGCATGAAAAGTCTTTGTAACCACAACAGCGTTCAATCTTTATCTAGTTGTCAAGCTGCTATGATCACCCATATAGAGAAGCTTGATGTATACGTCTTTCTTAGTAGCGAGGTGTAGAGTGGGTCTTGGTGTTCTGACTACTTTATATCTCCTGATGAACTTATCTGGTTAATTATTATCAACCAGTGTTTGTATGAACTTTCTTTCTTCTTCATCGAGTGTGTCTTCAGTGCTTGTTCGTTGGATTCTACTGAAGAGGCACTTCATTAAAGCTCTTTTGTGCCGAACAGGGCAAAAACTGTAGGTGGGTAGGTTTTCTATAAATAGATCGTTTTATTGATCAATCAAGCCGTCGACTAAGCAATGTATCTAGTCACGATAAATAATCATCTTGGTCTTCTACAGATGTAAGTGATATGCTATTCTGAACTTCTTTCATTCGATTTAAAATTGAGGCGGAAGAACAAGACTTATCACTTATGATTACAATGTTATCTACATACCTTCTATAAAGTGGCACATTTTCGATTAAATCCTCTGATAAACTACGAATGTACGATATATATAGATATCTGTTAAAAGAGGCCCTTCCTTGGTAAAGTTTATTTTGATACCAGCCTGCGTAGATGTACTACTACCTCTGTTATTTGGTTTAGTGATCTTCTATAGTTGGTTTGTATGGATTAGTTTCATTTTTACGAGTTGATCATGGATTGATATCAGTTAGAGAACTTTTGAAGACCAACCAGCAAGTACTGGACAGCTGTTTCATCCTAGTTTGGGAATCATCGGCAGTACGCACCCACTGGGGTTCGAACCCATGGCGTTCCGATTACAAGCAGGCAAGCCTGTATATCATTCAGCCCCTGGGACCTCATTCAATGGTTAGCTCAAGAATTCTAACTTCTACCGGTTCGTGATTTAGCGTGATCTTAATTGTTATTTTGACGTTCAATATGTCCTTTTAAATTGGCGTAAATTTGTTTCCTCACCTCTTAACTCTTTGTTAATTTCATACGTATATTCCTATGACAAGGTAGTGTATGTGTGTGATCAGATTGTTCGAAATAAGTGTTGCAACAATACACCATTACACGATTCAGACAAATGACGTCTTCTTATTGCTTTATCTAAATTCATGAAGCGAACTAATTGTTTTATAAATTTATTTAAAAAAATGGTAGTTAAATATCCTAGAATAGGAATTAACAACTCAATTCTCTTATAGGTAAGTATGTTTAAAAAAAAGCCAAATACACGCCCTTTTGAATTGAATTTTTGATTTTCCCGTCGATTGTTTGGACCGAAGTGCTCGGTCTCAGGTTGACATGTCGGCTTCTTGTGCAGATGCTTCAACTATGTCTGGACATTTAATTAGTATACAATTGGTGGATGGTGGCTAGCAGTGGAATCCAGGATGCGCATTTCGTCCTACTTGGGACTCGTCATCTGGATGTACCTGCATTTTTTCGTCGAAGCATCTGCACAAGAAGCCAACATGTCAACCTGAGACCAAGCACTTCGGTCCAAACAGTCGACGGGAAAATCAAAAATTCAATTCAATAATTAATATGACCCGTTGCACAAGAGGTGGCTCTCGTGGCCCAAGTGGTCTAGTGGATAACGCTTTGGCGTTTGAAACTATGGGTACTGGGTTCGAGCTTCTGTGGGAACGTCACCACTCACTGAGAAATGCAGGTACATTCAGCTGACGAGTCCCAAATAGGACGAAATGCGCATCCTGGATTCCACTGCTAGCCACCATCCACCTATTGTATACTAAACGCTCTTTTGTTATGCATACTTTATTAGAGGATATCATATTATCAAGGAGGTATATGGTTTCATCACAGATCGATAAAGACATTCTTAATGTCAAGGGAGGCTATAAGCTACCTGTCTGTGTATGTGTGTGTGCTTTCATCGGTTTCAATATTAACTTTTATCGAAGAAATTTAAGACTAAAGATAAATATTTTGTTTTCTAAAATAAATTATTGAAACATACTATGTTCTTCTTCACCACCGAGAGGCATTAGTCCGCCTTTTGTGACCACAACAGTTGGATCAAGTGATGTCTAATTTGGAGATAAAAGAAAGCAAATATGCATGATAATAATAATAAAGTGAGAATATAGACATTAGTAAAGGTAAATCGATATATTGAAGGTCAAAATAACAGTGAAGACCAATAATTATCTATAGTTTGGTTTGTAAGGGTTTGTTTTGTTTTTTTCGAGTTGATCACGGATTGATATCAGTTAGAGAACCATTGAGAACTAACCAAGGAGTACTGGACAGCTGTTTCATCCTAGTTTGGGAATAATCGGCAGTACGCACCCACCAGCAGGGTTTGAACCCAAGACCTTCATCCACATTGTTTGGGGACGCGCTAAACCACGAATAGGTAGAAGTTAGAATTCATGGGCTGGCCATTAAATCAAGTTCCAATGCCTGAATGGTATACGAGCTCTCTTGGCTTGTAACCGGAGGGTCCTGGCTTCAAACCCTGATGGTGGAGTGCGTACTGCCGATGATTCCCAAACTAGGATGCAACAGCTGTCCAGTCCTCCCTGGTTGATTTTCAATGCGTTTCTAACTGATATCAATCGGTGATCAACTCTAAGGCCAATTCACTAAATAACAGAGGTAATAGTACATCTGTTATGGTATCAAAACAAAATTTACCAAGGAAGGTTTAGTGTGATGACGAATTTTGATACCACAGCAGATGTACTATTGTGGTGAGAGCCGGCTACTATCCAAAATTGGTAGACTATTATTTACGTCAATGTATATGTCCCGAATATTGGTCGTGAGAAAAATTAGAAGAAAGGCTTTGCGTAGGCGGATACAGTTGACATATAGATGATCTGACATTCAAGAAACAGACACAAGGAGATGCCAGGTTAACTTTCAGTGAGAAACTACCAATCAGAACACTGTGTTTTTCTGCTAATAATAGTCTATAATATGTATGTGAAAATGTATAGATATGTGTTGGTTTCCATAATAAACGATCTGTTGCCTGACCCTTGTCTTCTGTTGTTACACTATTACCTCTGTTATTTGGTTTAGTGATCTTCATTGGTTTTTTTATTTGACCTTCAATATGTACTTTAAAATTGACGTAAATTTATTTTCTCGCCTCCTAACTCTTTATTAATTTCGTAGGCATATTCTTATGACAAGTCAGTGTGTGTGATCAGATTGCTCGAACTAAGTGTTGCGCAAATATGTTACACACGTTTCAGATAAACTACGCCTTCTTATCGTGTTGTCGAATAAGGCAAATAGACACTTCCTAGTGTATAGTGCATCATGAAAGTTTTATTACTTTCGAATTAGCGAGAATTATTTATTACAAGTTTGATCACAGCCTTATTCAAATCAGCAAAACATTGGGAAGTCGGGAAAACTGGCCAGCTATTTCGTCCTAATTTAGAACTCTTCAGTAGTATGTAGCCACACCCCCACAAACTATCGATGCTAAAACCTTCAGATTATGAGGCGGTCTAGTTGATTGTCCAGGTACTTGGAAGGAATTCAATGAATGGCTCATCCATTCTGACTTCTGTCTATTCCCAATTTTTAGCTTTATGGACAAACCAACGCCATCTGTAAGTATTTCCTCATACTTGGAATGATGGAATTCAATGATCACAAATTCTTAATAGAATTCCAGGCGACTACATCCTGATGTTAGCCACTAGTAGGACTAGTTTCCAAGAGTTTCTATAGGGGGGGAGGGAGATCTGAGTGATTCCAAGCTAGATAACGGGTTGAAAAACAAGTTGTACCAGATCGAATTGACAAAAGTTAGTATTCATGAGCTATTAGATTCCACCCCCCTCCTCGCTGAATGTTTAACGGGCTTTTCCCGTAAACGGAAGTTCCTGAGTTTGATTTACGGTGGGGGCGATGGATGCGTACTCCTGAAGAATCCCAAACCAGGACAAAAGAGCCGTTCAGTACTCCCTGGGTTTTCATTCATTCTCTGACTGATATTGATCTATGACTAAACTAGAAACTAATCAAATGCCTACAAACTAACACTTGAAAAAGAATTATTCATCTGTGATATGATAAAATGATAAAAAAATATTCTAAGCAGTTAGTTAGTTAGTTAAATGACGGAGAGTATACACCACCTAAAAGTAAGAAAAAAACTTCGACTAAGATGCTAGTTATGAAAAGCTTTTGTGCCACTCTTTGACTGAGTATTCTCCGAACTAACTGTTATTAGATGATCTTTTTCATCAACCGATTAACATTCTGAACCGAGTGTCTTCACGAAAAAGTTATCACTTAAAGGCATACGTTGAGGATTTCGCTTTCTCACATTTTGAACTAAATTAGTTATACGTCAGGTAATAAGGATCATATTTATTTACCTCTGTGTCCTTAACATGTGGCGTGTACTACTGACAAGAATTCATAAGTAGTATATTGTGTGTGACAGTCTCTTTCAAGAATTTTGCACTGAAGAGCGATAAATAATTAGGATGCGAAGAGGGCTAATGCAGATTTTCATAAAACAATAAGGAAACGGTAAATAAACATGAAAAATAAACAGAATATGAATAACTTTTGAAAAGTACAATTTCAGTTTTGAGGTATGTCGGCATTTATTAAAACTTGTAAACGGTCCAACTAGCAAATATCACTGTGTTTTACTACTTTAAACACAACCTGTTTCAAGCTACTGCACTTGTTGTTAACTGTTGGAATTTTACTGTCATCTTTTAGAAATTAGGTTATTTTAAAAATGAATTATAACCTTTATTATCAGCTGAAATTAGGAAGTATCACTTAACACGTAATTTGATTGTATAGTAATTCAATGAACCATACAAAAGAATCTACGACAATTAAGGCGAAAGAGAAATCATGTGACATTTGCTTTTGGGCAGTGATAACAAATGAAGTGTTAATTTTGATTCTTTAAAAAAAACAAAAATTCGATATCAGTAACACGAAACTCTTGGCGCCATTTATTTCAAATAGTAAATATCCGGGAAAAAAAGGGATGGTTGGATGTAGAGTTAGCGACCTAACCGAACAAAATCAATCCAATCGCTGAGAAACCTTTAAAGTAAAAGAATATAACCAAAAAAATTTGGTTTTTTCTCTGGAATCGGAGAGGCACAATGATGTAGGCCTGTGAAAGCCTTTCAGGGGTTGCTCGGCCAGTGTGCCTCCATTCGATCAAAGCATAATTAAGCGTTTAGACATGGATTGTTTGCAGGATACTTTGGCAAGAAGGTGGACATACCTTGAACTGATGAGAAGACTCGAGAAGAACTGAACTTTGTGGACTATTTATGTATACTGTCATACAGACCAAAAGCAATAAGTTCACAGAAGAAGTAGCGAATGCAGGATTTACAGTGAATATAAATAAGACAAAGGTGATGAGGATACTTGAAGAACAACAACAACAAGGACGTCCACTCCTTCAGTTATCTAGGCAGCATAGCTTCAATTACAAAAGCACTAATGAGGACGTCAAAGCTAATCAAGATCGGAAAGACAATATAAACTGTCCTTAATCCGAGATCTGTGTGGATTTCTGCAGTACTAAGCATAAGGAACAAGATGCAGATCTTCAATGCTAATGTCGAGTCAGTTGTTCTATATTGTTTCTGTGACTTCACATATGCGCGTCACTTAGACAGGGTGCAGCAGAGTTTCATAGTTACAGCTGCTTCCGCTCCAAGCTGAAGATCACACGGATAAGCAACAAGGAACTCTAGTTGACAACTAACCAACCAATTAAGAACCTATCGTCCAACAGATATGTAGAAGGAATTTTAGATATATCAGATACACGTTGAAGAGACCGTTGGATAACATCCCGTGCCAGATGTAGGTCTGAGGGTGGGAAAGATCATTTGAGGAGGAAATGAAAGCCTACGGGCAGTAATAGAGCAGGCATAAAAAGGCTGCAAAGGACGGAGTGCAATGGTGATGTGCTGTCAAAGCCTTATGTTCCACTCGAAATATAACAATCAGTATAAATTAATAGAACAAAAGACAAATTTCACAGCACTTCGTGTTTCAAATTACTAGGCTTTTTAATTCACATTAGTTTTTCAAAATTTCTTATTTTATTCGACATATTTATAATTTTACTGATACGGAGATGTTCAATTACTTCTGGAAATATAACATTAGTTGGTAAGTTAGGTAGACAAAATTAAGTTACTCGAAACAGACTTTTCCTGAGGCTGATAGTGCGATAGCTTACATGTAGTACTTGAGGGATGACATAACTACCAGAATGTCTAAGCTGTTGCAAGTGGAATGGAATTCGAACCACGAATCAAATGACTGAGTGAGTCATATTTTCACAAAATACAACGCTAGAGAAATAAGGTTAAAAGTATTTCGATTTCTCACTAGTCTTTGATTTCAACAACAGTAAAGTTATTTGAGTTTATGCTAACATTCTTTCTGTATACTAGAAAATGGGCAACAAACGATCCTCAATTTTATCAATCAGCCCAGAAAACAAAACCAAATCAAAATCATCCACCTGAACTAAAAATCTTCTTCATTATATTCATTTATTCATTGGATCAGAGCGTCAGTGGCACAGCGGTAGAATACCCACCAAGCAAACATGTGGTTCAGGATTCGAGCCTCGGCCAACGGACTCCTTTACATCGCTAAGCCAGTAATAAGATTGGGGGAAAAGGGAAGGTTAGTCATGAAGCTAGCAAATCCAACCTGTAAAAATAAACAAACACCACCTTTTTCTTCCTTTTTATATATCGTAGGGGCAGTAGAATTTTCCATCTGTTCGGATGGACATGTGTTGAATCATTTCTATCACGCATATTTGCCGTTGATCCAATAAATAAAGCTTTGGTTAATAATCTCGCTCTCCAATCTGTTATATTAGATTCTAAAACTATGAACTTATCCCATGCTGTTGTGTAGTTATGTGCAATTACGAGTCGTGCTACACGCTGAACTATTTTGTAGATTTCTTATCTTAGTTAAGGTTAACTAATTTAGATTTTGCTAGTTTTACGTGATTCCCTCTTATTTTCTGAGAGTCTGAGAATACGCTCGATAAAAGTTCATTCAGCACCTGTCTCGGAAATATGGAATAAAATTCTACTACCCCTACAATGAATATGAAATAAGGACGAGAACAATGAAAATCAAGACTTATAAAAGTCAAGTTTCGATGTTATGTAGTTACAGTCGATATGATTATGAACAATAAACTGTGTCCGAAACACCATCCTATAAGTAATATCATGCATTAAACAAGCTAATGTGGAATTACATACTATTAGAGTGCGTGTATCAATACTAACATTTAAATCGCCTTACCATATATAAAGGATATCTCAGAAATCACTACAAGACTCTTCAAACCTTTAGGAATTGACGTCGTACACAAACCAACAAAGTCACATCAACTGATTAAAAATAGCCATTAAAATTTTCAAAAGAATGGATAATGAACAAAGAGTACTCTTTCCGATAAATTCATCATCAGGCTCTACATTTATACATACATTATAGTGAATGAATGAGTTAGTGTTATAAATGACATTAATGTTTAAGTAACATCAAATCAATAATATTGATGGATTACAGCTGAAACGCATCAACATAGAATAAGCTGAATGTCAGAAACATTAGGAAAGATAACAGTACAAATTCATGAGTTTATAGCTTCTACTGAAGGCCAGGGCAATAGTAATGGCTGAACTTGCTTCTCTTGAATACAGAGTGCTGGTTGTTTGAGGTGAATCGCAATAGCCTCTGATGTTTGGAGCCTGCGGTGCTTCGATGTTTTTGGTAATTTATTAGGCGCCCGGTAGATGATAGAAAAGGTTTCTTAGATGCCGGCTGGCTTTGTGGCCGGCCGGTCTGCACCATATGGTCCAATATCGAACTGTTGATCATGGCTTTCACTACACCTTTACTTAGCAATAGTGGGAGATGTTCCCGAGTCAGCACGAAGAATCTAGTTTGCAGAGCAACGGCCTATATAACTCGCCCCACCACAAGCGCAATTGAATTGGTAGATACAATTTGAAGTGGCCAGCTAATCTAGGTACTTCATCTTTCAGTCTAGGAACCACCATCGGTGGTGTAGAGAATAATACGTGTAGTTCGCCAGCATTAAAAGTGCTTTGAACTGATTTTCTTAATTTCTTCGCAATTATCTCGCTCAGTATATCGCCCATGAATTGTAGTCGTATATAGAGAGGTTTCTTGTTTACGGATAGTGAGTAGTCCTTTTCCGTTTTCTTTGTCATGTGTTTCTGGATAAATTTGTCGGGATAGCCATTTTCTATCAAAGTATTATATACAATGCTTAATTCATCTTCAATCACTTCCTCTGAGCATATAGCTCTAACTCTGTGGCTGAGGGTCTTCACAAAATTTCTTTTGTACTTGATAGGAACGAAGCTGTGAAAATGTGTATATTGTCTTGTCCAAGTGCTTTTGCTATGCAAATTTCTTTTTATGCTACCATCTGGTTTTCTTGTAAGTAGGACACCCAGGAAGGCAATTCTATCTTGGGATTCCTCTTCGCATGTGAATTCCATAGCCGAACGTACTTCATTGAATTCAGTAATTATTGTACTTCTGACAGAACCATTATTTGGCACCCGGTATAATATAGGGAAGGATTCATCTACGCTGGCTTTGTGTCCTGTTTGCACCGGATGTTCCAATATCGAGCTGTTAATAGTTTTCACTACACCTTTACTTAGCCAAGCTGGAGACATTCTCCAGTGAGCACAAAAAATCAAGTTCCTAGAGCAACAGCCAATATAACTGGCTTCACAAGCGCAGTTGTATTGATAGATACAATTAGAAGTGGCTAGTCTAGGTTCTTCATCTTCCAGTCTAGGAATCACCATCGGTCGTGTAGAGAATAAGACGTGTAGTTCGCCAGCAGTAAAAGTTCTTTGAACTGATTTTCTTAATTTCTTCACAACTATCTCGCTTGGTATATCACCCATGAGGCTTCTTTTTTGTTTCGCCTTATGCTTCCTTTTATTGATAATATTTTCTAGTAGCTCTTCCAGGTAATCATTTCCAATTGAAATCTGTTTTATGTTGGATATCTCGTTCTCCATATCGTCATTATCTGTTATAATGATTCTAGCTCTGTTAATCAGATTTAAAGCTACTGAAACTTTCATTCCTATTGGATGATCTAATTGGAAATTCATATACTTGTTGGAATGTGTCGGCCTTCAGTATGTGGTAAACTTTAGTTTGTCGTCAGTTTGCCTTCCAACAAGAAAATCAAGGAAGTTTCAAGTTTGATGGCAAACTGATTTCAGTTAGAGAACCAGTGGAACCCAGAGAGTGCTGGATAGTTGATTAGTCCTAGTACGCATCCAATGTGATTCGAATCCAGGACCTACTTGGTTACAAAGCGAACTTGCAGATAATTCAGCAGCTGGGACCCGTTCGAACATCCCATAAATCCCAACTCCGATCAATTCGTGATTTCAGTGCAACTGGCTCCAGTCAGTGTCATCAGCGAGTATTTGTCTTCACAGCTGACCTAGTGGACCTCACTGGTAACGACTTTTTATTAGTAATCCAGGCAAATTCGTCCTGCAGCCAGTCACTAGCAAGCATTGGATTCATGGGTGACTTCATAGGATCCAAGTAGCTTAAGGGTCTAATAGCTTGCCTTGTAAGCTGAAGGTACTGGGTTCGAAACCCAGTGGGTGCGCACTTCTGAGAAGTCTCAAGCTAGGAAGAAACAGCTTTCCCCAGTTTTGAATGGTTATGCGAATTACATCAATCTGTGATCAGAATTGAAACAGATGAAATCCCCGCAAACCAACTCTTTAAAATTCTTGAAAAAGGAGTTTCTTAGCTGAGATATTAGTTATTATTTCCCAAGAAATATAAAATAAAGACAAGCAGATTATGCTTAGACTTTAAACTTAATTCCACTCGTTAAATGTTCTGCTTTAGGTAATAACATAAAATATAAAAATCACATCATTAATACGAAGGTCACAAATACTGGCCGTGGGAAAATATGAACAAGGCTGATTCAACAACCAATCACAGCAGACTTAACGTGGGCAAATAGTATTCGCAGATAGATGGCTCCATTTACCGAGGTTACCCGAAACAACCAATCAGAAGCCTGCGTTTGTCTGCTTGAATAAGCTATAATAATGTACAGGAAATATATATATATATATATATATATATATATATTGATTTCCGTAATAAAACAATCTGTTGCCGGCCCTTGTCTTCTGTTGTTACACTCCAAGTTGAATGTGAATGCGGGACAACTTTAGCATTAATTTTAGCGTAACTTTATTGTGAAATTGGATCTAAAGATGTTGTTCAGAAGGCTAATGAAAGTTTGAAGAACACAGTAACATCAGAAACATCCAAATGAGCTACAAATCTCTACTACATATAAAGACTAAATAGTAGTCGTACTGAGGTTCAATTTTGAATAACTCACAGAAACAATATTTTACACTCTATAAACAAATACAGTTTTCGATGTAGCTGTGTTCTCCAAGCTGGACAGTTTAGCGAAGAAGCTTTCATTGCCCTACTAGGCTACATCTTCAGCGCATACTTCAATTTGAAGTGAGCTTTTAGATTTCTCTACGAGTTTATTAGTCATCAAAACAAACGAAGTGGACAAAAATTACAGCTTAATAAACAGCGTTCTCAACGACATCGAGTTAAAAATAGAAGAGGGGTATGAGAACAAAATCTTACTTTCAGATGTCTTAGTCAAGCGAACAACTACAGGGGAATTAGAAACTCCAGTTTATAGAAAATCAACTCACATAAACCAAATACTCAATTACAACAGCAAAAATCCAATAACGCCTCCCAGAGGGGTTGTATACAAACAGTATTCAAGAGGGCCAGGAATCATTGCAGCACTCCCATCTTAGAGAAAGTTGAAGAAAGATATCTTACGGACGTCTTCCAGAAAAAAGGATATCCACGGAATATCTAACCACAAGCCAACCTACCAAATCAAAGCCACCCAAGGAAGGCACAAGGAAAATCTCTCTACAATATATAAAGGACATCTCAGAAATCACTGCAAAACACTTCAAACATTTAGGAATTGACATCACACACAAATTAATAAAATCACTCCACTCAGTTGACTCTATGTCAACCAAAAGACTCAAAAACGAGAGAAGATCAAACCAACATCATCTACAAAGCAAGCAACGACTGCGAAAAACACTACAATAGCCAAAATGGACGTCCTCTTTGTGTCTTCGTATCCATGATCACAAACCAGCCGTCGACAGACATGACATTCGCTCTCTTATATCACTGCATACAGACAACCACAGACATAAGTTCGACTTGGAAAATTAGCGTTCAAATATCAGACAGAGGAAACACCAAGAATGCTAGAGAATTTCTAGAAGCCTGGTATTTCAGTGAATCTTCAATCAACAGATACATTGACACAGACAAAATTTACTAATCAATAAGAAGGAAATCTTACACCCACGGGGCCGAACTACAGGTCAGGGAAACAATCAATACCAATACAAGTAGCCTAGAGGGTGTGAAAGCACAGAAAAACAACCAATCATTAAGTTCAAGTTCACCCACCAGGACAGATGACTGATAAACTCGTGGAGAAATCTAAAAACTCACTTCAACAAATCGAAGGATGCGCTGAAGTTGTTACCTAGTACGAGGGCAATAATGAAAGCTTCGGAAATAAACCATCCAGTTCAGAGAACACAACTACATGAAAATCATCCACCTGAGTTAAATATCTCCTCCATTATAACAAATACAATAGATTTCTAACTATTAAAAATGATACACTGCAGTTTAACATATTAGAGACGAATACGTTTCACTATGGTTATTACTACTGCAAATTATAGGTAATATATACTGACTTGAAGTTCAGTGCATTGTCATCAGACACAAAAGAAAGAGAAAACCTTTTTACTTACTTTCCCGTCCGCATCAGCTCCCCATCCTCTAGGAATTGGGATTCCTCTTCTTCGATTCATTTCAATCTTGTAATTTTAACGAAAAAAAGAATGCACAACAATATCAAAATGAGTTCCCAATAAAAAATAAAGGCAAAGTCAAACAAAAATTAAATTCATAAGCTCGTTTCACGATGATAGAAGGAACTAACTCAAATGAGGAAGCCTGAATTAAGATAAAGCATACCACTAGACTATGTATAGTAGTTAGTAATGATAATAGTAAATAGTTGTAGCGAGATGAACCTAACGGTTTCAGTCTACACGTACATATTTCATGTATTGTTTGAGTAATTTTTTACTACACGCTGGAGCTATATGTATCATGCGTGAGCGTGTAAGTTATGGATCAAATATTTAAAAGTACATTGCAGCCTACTTAAATCACCAATGACTGATTATTTCACACTTTATTGTTCCAAAAGATTATTAAGTTCTACGAATAGAATACATATGACTTTTTACCATGCATACGATAATACAGGGCTTCATCATGATCTGAAATCATTAGTTAGAGAACCATTGAAAACCAACTGGGAGTACTGTCAAACAGCTGTTTCGTCCTAGTTTGGGACTCTTCAGAAGTACGCACCCAGGTTCAAACGCAGGACCTTCTGGTTACAAGGCGAGCTCGTAGACCATTAAGCCATTGGGACCCGATCCAATGACCAGTACATGAATTCTAACATCTGCCAATTCACGACACAGCACGACCCGTAGCTAATACCTTCAGTGAGTATTTGTCCTTACACCCAACCTACTGCACCCTGGTGGTCACGACTTCTCACTGGAACCTCAGGTAACTACCTACCTGAATAGGGAAAGTCGCTAGTGGGCATCTCATCGGTATTCAATTATTGGTTTGTAGGGATAAGGTGCAGCACGTCGGGTGTGAAAACAAATACTTGCCACCGATGACATTGGTTAGCGGTCACGCTATGTCATGCATTGGCAGAAGTTAGAATTCATGGACTGGCCATTGGATCAGGTCTCATTGGCTTAATGATATACGGGCTGGTTTGCCTTGTGACCACAAGGTTCTGGGTTCGAACCCCAATGGGTGGGTGCGTACTGATGAAGAGTCCCAAACTAGGACGAAACAAATGTCCAGTACTCCCAGCTGGTTTTCCAAAGGTTCTCTAACTAATGTCAGCTGATGATGAAATCCTGTACCTAATCAATCAAAGCCCTACAAACCAGTACTTGAATACGATGATACAGTTTGGCCTATTAAAATTCAATGCATGATAGCGTCAGTAATGAAAAGGGTGAACCATCCAGTTCAGTAAACACAAAACACTGATTACATGCACTTGAGACAAATTAAATTTTGCATGGAGGATTTCACCATGAGCTGACATCATTTAGAGAACCACTGGAAAACCTGGGAATACTGGACAGCTGTTTCGTCCTAGATTGTGACTCTTCATCAGCTCATGGTGAAATCCTCCATGCAATCAACCGAAATCCCTACAAAACCAATACTCGAAAATTGAATTTTCTCTATGAGAAAAAGTTTCGTTGTTGGATATTTAGAGTTATTTGCATAGAAGTGACCATTAACAAACTAACTATGTGTACAGATTCGACTACGAGCTCCATTATGGATAAAATTTTATATTGATAACATCACACGCAGTGTCGTTATACAGTAATATTTAGTGATGACCACATTTATCGCCCACCATAATCACATCAGAGCACTACTCACACGACGTTTTTGCTTCGTTTATATACATGTCTGTCTGTCTATTTTCGACACAGAACTTTCCACATATGTGCGGCAGTTCAAGTCACCACACTCCATGTACCACATAAAGCAAGAGAGACAGTAAGCAGAGGTGTGAGACAAAGGAAGAGTAATAACGAAGAACAAAACAGTTTCATTAGAAATCATAAGTCACGAGGAGTGAAAGCATCTGCAGCAGCCATTGACAACGATTTTGAGCCATATCACTGATTGTTTCCAACTGTTGGTGTTTACCGTCCCGAGGATCCCAACCAGGAAGTCTACACTTTCCTACATGGCTGGCTTAGACTGACTGTTGTGGATTTCATTGACTGGTGCCATGTTTTTGTTTGACCTCCGCTAGCTCTTTTTCAGCCTGACCCTATATCCGCTAACATTGCTCGTCGAGGATGGTAATGACTAGGCATACGTAACACATGTCCTAAACATCTCAGTCTTTGTAACTTCACAACTTCGTCGATTGATTTCTCCTGTTTACCTAGAACTCGATACCTAACCTCAATATTGCTCACCTTATTATGCCACTTCACACGGGAGATAGAGCGCAGGCACCTATGATCAAAGACAGCTAATCTTTTCATGTCTTCCACTCTCAGTGGCCAGGTCTCACAGTCAGCCATAAAGAAAGATGGAGCGGACTGATGATCAATACACCCGCCCTTTGGTCGATAGTCGGATATCACGTCTACACCAGAGATGGCGTAAACTGGCGAATGCGAAACGAGCCCTCTATATCCGTGCTGAGATTTCGTCAGAGGTCAACCCGTTGGCACTGGCTGATGGTACTTCCCAAATAAGTGAAGCGTTCAACGTGCTCTACCACTTCACTCCTTATTTCTAATCTAGGAGTCGGTGTAGTTCAGTCCTGTAACATCATCTGGCATTTGGCGGGAGCGAATCGCATGCCAAACATTCGTACATTGCAGTTCTTGCTTCGTTTATATACATTAGTAAAAATTGATGATTAGACATTTGAATAAAACCAGTATAAGATAAAGTACATTTGGGAATAATAATATGAGTGTTGTCAATGAAATACAATCAGATGGAAAATAAGATGTTTTTATAGTAAAACTAAGTAGCTTGTTAGAATGTTATAATGTGAATTGAAATAGATTTTAACATTTATCTTCCTCTGATTTGACTGGTGGTGATAACGTCTTCCATATCTCTGGTATATGCGTTGAGTCATTTCTATTGCATGTGTTTGGTGTATTAGACTCGATGAACCAGGATTCAGTGATCGATCTCTCTCTATCTCCGCCTACCTATATTAATTTTTAGAATTTTAACTCTCTTCCACCCTATTGTGTATGGTCATGTGTTAATGCATGCAGTGCGATTGCTGAGTTTTTTTTTCTAAATTACTTGTCTTCGTTATGTCAATCTTTCTAACCTTAGCTAAGAAGTTGCTTATTATTTTTACTATAAAAACATCTTATTTCCCATCTGATTGTATTTCATTGATAACACTCATATTATTATTTCCAAATGTACTTTATCTTATACTGGTTTTATTCAAATGTCTAATCATCAATTTTTACTAATGTATATAAGCGAAGCAAGGAAGTTGTGGGAGCAGTGCCTTGATATGATTATGGGTGGCAATGAAACGTGGTCATCAGTAAATATTACTGTATAACAAACACTGTGCGTGATTTTATCAAAATAAAATTTTATCCATAATGGAGTTATACTCTCCCACAGTGCACAAGTTTTATCCTTATATCGACCACGAGCTGCTGTCAGCTAGAGAACCGTTGGAAAACTACCGGGAAGTACTGGATAGCTTTGTCATTCCAGTTTGGGATCCCTCAATAGTACACACTCACCGGGATCCAAACGTCTTGATCGCTAAGCGACCTTGTAGACGCTCCAGTCAGTTTGGACCATCCCAATGGCCTGTGAATCCCAAATTCAGCCAATTTGCTAGAGATAGCGTCACTACTAGCCAATATTATTGGCGAGTAACTGTTCTTTTAATTGGCTCGGTGGATACCGCTGGTGACTACTTCTCATTGAAACAACAGACACCTTCTTGTATGGAGCTAATTGTTAGTGAGCATCGGATTAATTCTCAGTTTTTCGTTTCTAGGAATTTGATTGGTTACAGGTAATCACTGGTCACGAGGTGACATCACTTTAAGAACCCTGTTAGGAGAGCACTTCAGAAGCGTTTCAAACAATGACGAAATAAATTTCTAGTACTCCCTGATTTCTTAGCAATTCTGTAACTGATGTTGGCTCGTAATCAAAGCAGTAGCCAATCAAATACCTGCACACTAACATTTTATAATTATGCTTCCCTGTCCTCAATCACATTTTTACTTCAAGTAATTAAAGATCTTTACAAAAATGAACGAATTTCATGTGGCATATTATGGATAATTCGGATAAAAGAAAAAGTGACGCATCGGTATCAAGAAAAAGTAGTCATTGTAACGTTTGTCAAACATTTTCGATATGTGACTTTGTAAGACGAACAAGATTAGAGATATTTGGTTGTAATTTACTGAATTTCAAAGTTTTATAAGGGGAGCTAATTGACTTAAATTTTTGAGAGAGAAGACTCCCTCCACACACACATCATCATCAAAAGGTTAAATGAACATGTTAACTTTAGGTGTAAAATTATTGTCGAACGCGACATGTTGGAATTTTATAAATTGTGTATTACAAATTTATCAAGAAGCACATGATGAAGAAAGCGGAAAAGGACTACTCACTATCCGTAAACAAGAAGCCTCTTTATATACGACTACAATTCACGGAAGACATACCAAGTGAGAAAATTACGAGGAAATTAAGAAAATCAAAGAATTTTTAATGCTGGAGAACTACACGCATTATTCTCTACACGACCGATGGTGATTCCTAGACTGAAGAACGAAATACCTAGACCGGTCACTTTAAATTGTATCTACCAATCTAACTGCGCTTGTAGTGGAGCGAATTATATTGGCCGTTGCTCTACGAACTAGATTTTTCGTGCTGACTCGGGAACATCTCCCACTTTAGCTAAGTAAAGGTGTAGTTAAAACCATTAATTGTTCGATATTGGACCATCTGGTCCAAACCGGCCACAAAGACAGTGTGGAAGAATCCTTATCTATAATCTACTGGGTGCCTTATATGTTACCAAAATCATCGAGGTACCGCATGCTCCAAACAACAGAGGCTATTGCAATTCACCTCAAACAACCAGTGCTCTGTGTGCAAAAGAAGCAAGTCCAGCCACTACTACTGCCCTGGCCGGCCTTCAGTAGAGACTATAAACTCGTGAATTTGTAATTTTATCTTTCCTAATTTCTCTGACATTCAGCTTATTTTATGTTGATACTACTAAGCTGTAATCTGTCAATATTATTGATTCGGTGTTATTTAAACCACATTAATGTTGTTCATAGCACTAATTCATTCATTCACTATAACGTGTATATATAACTGTAGAGCCTGATGATGAAATCATCGAAAAGAGTACTCTTTGTTCAGTATCCATTCTTTTGAAAAATTTTAATGGGCATTTTAATCAGTTAGGAGTCATCCCTTCACGAGGTAATTTTATAAAACTTTAAAATTCAGTAAATCACAACCAAATATCTTTAATCATGTTCGTCTTACAAAGTCTTATATCGAAAATGTTAGACAAACGTTAAAAAGAGACTACTTGTTCTTGATACCGATGCATCACTTTTTATTTTATCCAAATTATCTGTGGTGATTCAAGATGTTATGAAATCACAAAAATATTCAATTTTACATAATTTAATTTCGTACATTTTTTTTTAGTTTTAAGCATTTCCACTAAACAAGCAGATAAAAATTTATCCGGTAATAATGCTGAAATATGGACAAACTAAGGACTTAACATTTGAACGATGAGAGTAATTAAGATGTTTCTGAATTAGCAGACTATCAATTAACCGAATGTTCCTCTCTCCTTCTGCTTCAGTTTCTGATTATGATTGATAAATAGCGAAGGACATAGCTGGGCAGCTAATGTGATGATGAGTGATGACCAAGTCAGAAGCTGTGACTCGCATTCCATTTGCTAGATCACCAGACTAGTCACCTGGTGGCCGGTAATTCAAATACTTTGTCGACAGAGATTTTCATTTTATCTGCAATCATCATATATAACTTTAAATTCCGTCTAAATATATGAGCACATTTTCTACTAGTCGATAGGCTTTTATGGAATTTTATTCCATCAGGTGAAAATTTCTAGTAAATTTTCTTTCATCTCAACGTAGATTCCATGAAGTTTCATAACCATTAGTGGTGACTCCTAGCGAATCCGCGCATCCACATCTGTATTTATCTCAACTACAGTCCGAGGTAAAAAAATTCAACACAATTTCCTCCAGAAACTGAAGCTCTGCAGTCACGTGATAGCAATGACGTTTTTGTATTAGTTCATTCAAGAAAAAATGAGCTTCCATGGGTCAGAGAGTCAACAAATAATATAAGATTGCTTTAAATTGATTGAATTTCGCTAATATTGAGAAGACTAGACACACTCTTATATTTTAAATGATTTAGAGACACCCTCTTCAGCTATTTATCCCTAATATCTAAACTATTTTGGACATAATCCACACCCGCCTAAGTGACACAGACTGGTGATTAAGGACTTTAGGGGGTTCATGTCACGGTTTCTCCTGAGAAAGACAGTATCTGTAGATGCACAAAATACGTCTGAACTACGTTTGCAATGCATTTTCATGCTAAATACATTAACCATATACCTAATTTCAATACTCTTATTCACTGTATAGTTCACACACACACGATCCGTCTCCTGAAGACATTTAGGGTTTCTTCTTATTATTATTGTTTCCTGTAGTTCCTAAAGGAAAACGGGGCTTCAGCCGTACGTCTCCATTGCGTTCGATTCTATGCCAACATTTTCACCTGGCGCCACGTCTGCTCACATGCTTCCATCTCATGTGCACATTACCTCCTCCAAATCACCCTTGCACTGACGACCAACTCGCCGCTTCCCGTTCGGGTTCCACTCGAGAGCGATGGTGTGGCATCTGATATCACTTGATGGTTTGTTTCCTCAGAGTATGGCCAATCCACCTCCATTTCTTCCTGCATATTTGCTGCACAATTGGTTCCTGCTAGCTTAGTTCGCTCACTGGCAGAGAACCCTCACTATTGCTGATCTTCCCTGGCCGGTCATCTGATCTTGAGTATGAGGCGAAGATAGCTTTCGTTGAAGGTCTGTAGTTTGTTCGAAGTGCTCTTCATGAATCGCCAAGTCTCTGCTCCGTATAGTAGCACTGACTTCACATGCGAGTTGAAAATCCGGATCTTATTTTTCACTCTGAGGAGTTCTGTTGACCTCCACACAGACTTGAGGGTAATGAAAGCTTGCTTTGCTTTCTCTTTGTTCCTGGCTTTGATATCCTCATTAGTTCTGCCCACCTGTAACTGAAACGATGCTTTAAAAGTAGGTAAAGGAAGTTGCTTCTTTCAAATTTCTCCCTTTTATGCTGATTGTTGTTATTGTTGCTGTCTCTGTTGGCCAGGAATCACTTCTGTTTTCTCTGTGTTCACTTGAAGGCGGTTTACGTTCAGAAAACGTTGGCTATTGATTACTTAAAAGTGTTACTTTAGCGTACAAAAAACAATGCAATTATTTCTTCTAAGGATTTTAAGAATAAAAAAACATCCCAAAAGTTATCCATTTTTCTGCATATAAACCTGGGTAAGCTCACCTTGCCCAATGCAACAGCACTTGTAGCCATGTCTAGTACAAAATGATCTTCAGATTTTTTGCCTGGTGCTGCTAATGTAATTGGATTGGTTCCAACAGCTAACTGTTAAAAGAGGAAAACAAAAGAGGGAAATTGTTTCACCTTCATAAATACATTTTATAATAGTAATGCATGTTTTAAACAAATAATAATTATAATAATCGCTTTATTCTGGACAGTGTTTGTAGAGCATACAGAATTTTCAGCGGAGTTTATCGCATGATATTTTTTCTCTTCGTACATAGTAGACCCTGTGATATAGTGTGCATCAGTGGTAGAGCACTAGAATGCTCACCAAACATGCATGCGGTTTGGGGTTCTAGCCCCGGCCAGCGCACTCCGAAACCTCGCTAAGCCGGTTTATAAGACCGGGAAAAAAGGAAAGGTTGGTCATGAGGTTAACAATATACTCTGTAGAAAAATTACCAGCATTGCTGCTGAAACTTCAAAGCTCTAACTTGAAGCCATATGTTCCACTAAGAGCGTAAAAGAATAAAATAATAACACGATCAATATGCTTATGACAGAAGTATGAAATCAAGAAAGTTCTGCAGTGATTCAGTGGTAGAATATTCGCCATTCAGGCATGTGGCGGGGGGTTCGATTCCCGGCTGATGCATTCTTAAATCTTGCTTAAGCAGTAGTAAGCACAGTGAAGAGGGAAGGTTAGGTGTGAGGCTAACACCCTCACCCGATGGAAGCAAAATTGTCATTAATGAGACTTCAAGACATAATCCCTAGACCCCCTGGGATGCACAGGAATGAAAAACAGTAAGAAATTAGGAAATTATGGGAAAATATAATAAAACCAGATCACAAATAAATTTATTGATGAGAAATTAAGTTTACGTTTTAGTTATCCTATAAAAAATAGAAACAGCTGAAAGGAAAAAAATGCCCTATGACCGTCTGATAACTTAACTCTATGTATTTTTATAAATGAATAATAGGCGTTAACTGGTGCCTGATAAAAAAGGAGTTAGAAATAGTAATTAAAAGATGTGTAGGTGCCTGGTATGAATGTGTATTTAAGAACGACTGGTTGACGGTTGATCGATGTAGAACTTAGAATTGTCAATATTAGATGGTTGGAGGCAATCGGTAAGGTTTCGTGCCAGCTGGCACTCACCAGTCAGCAAGGCCTATCTGCAACCCCCTTGAAGGATTTCATATCTCTTCTGAGACTCGAACCTGAGTCACTCAGTGAGTGATGTAGTCAGAGATGTTACCACTGAACTATTCAGGCTTACGACTGACCTCCTTTAGGAATGTATTGGGTATTTTTTGATTGGACACTAGTTAGTGACTAGTGTATTGCGTCTAGTGCTCTGCTCAGTTTACATTGAATCCTATCAATCACGTTTGCAATGTGGCCACCATTCAAGGTGGTTCGCCATCACGGCGCATTTTGAATTGTTGATATTAGACGGTTGGAGGTCTGTCTGTCTGGATTCAACATAGAACTTGGCACCGAAGTGCACCAGTTCCAGTTGCCGCGTTACAAATAGCACACAAAGGTAGACAAGAAGATGAGTGAAGAGAATCAACAGAGTTTGACAAGTAAGTATAAGAGTGAAACAGAATGGGTAATGGTAGAAAGGAATATGAAAGATTACAGAGACTGAAAACATCTGCGCTGGCCATTGACAACGATTTTGAGCCATATCACCTATTGTTTCCAAACATTGATTCCTAGAGTCCCGAGGGCCCCAACCCGGAAGTCTGCATCTCTTCACCTGACTCAATTTAACTCTCAAGGATTTCATGGACTGATGGCATGTTTTCGTTTGGCCACCACTTACTCTTTTCCAACCTGCACCTATATCAGCTAGTAATGCCCATCGGGGGAGGCAATGGTTAGGCATGCGCAGCACGTGACCGACCTAGCCATCTCAATCTACGTAACTTTATAGCCTCGTCGATTGATTTTCCCTCTTTGCCCAACACTCTACGCCTAACGTCAGCATTACTTACCTTATTAAATCACCTAACGCGAGAAAGAGATCGCAGACATCTATGATCGAAAGCAGTCAACCTTTTCATGTCTTCAACTCGCATTGGCCATATTTCAGAGCCATAGAGAAGGACAGAGCGAACTGCTGAGCAGTACACACGTCCCTTGGTTGATAGCCGGATATCACGCATACGCCAGAGATGGTGTAAGTCGGCGAAAGCAGCTCGAGCTTTTTGGAACCGTGCTGAGATTTCGTCGCCAATCAGTCCGTTGGTGCTGATACAACTTCCCAAATATGTGAAGTGGTCAGCATGTTCTATCAGACAACCTTTCTGGCATGGTAGGACCTCAAGCGACATAAGTCTCAGCCAGTATAGCTTGTTGGATAATTGCGGTGTACAAGCCTGACCACCACGTCAAGGTAGCAGCTTTCTGTCGGGACGGTTGGAGGTAATCAGCAGGAAGCCAAACAAAGGACTAGACACATTATACTAATTACTAACTAGTGAATGGCCAATTAAATGCAAAATGTCGAAAAAGCACACAAAATAAAAAGACAGCTGGAGATTGGCATTGTGAAAGGCGAATATGGATACAAAGGAGGAAATGATTGAGAAGAAATCAGTGAAGCTTTGAATGATCTGAAAGATAGTAAAGAGCGAGTATATCTGCACTATTGTGAATGATTATTAGTTATATAAATATAATTGAAAGCCTCTAATCAATGATTCTTGGAATACTAGGTACCTCAGTCAGGCAATCTGCATTTACTCATGTGGCTGGAAACAGTAATCATTGAATTTACAAACTGATATCATCTTTTAGTCCGGCCATCCTAGTTCCACTAGTATTGCTCAACAAAGAAGTCGGTGGTTTTGCATGCATTGCACATATTTCAAACCATCCCAATGTTTCAAAGAATTAATTGAGTAGATCTCTTAGTACAGCTTACGTTGTCTATATTGTAGATATGCTTTTAACAGATACTATCACGGTGGGCGAATTTCAACAAGCAATGACGTTAGGAATAAAACCCTTAAAAAATAAGGGAGAATAGATATAATTCTGTTAAAAAATTTACGTTGACTTCAAATAAATCTTCGCTAGAATATATACAGCTGCAGATCAAACTAGTCATCAACCATTAAGTATGCTGTAGAAGCGAACACTCACTTATCAAACCGGATGGAGATAAGACTGTCTGTCTGTTTGTTTTCGACATAGAACTTTGCACAAATATGCGGCACATCAAGTCGCCACACTTCCTCCATGTAGCACACAAAGCAAGAGAAAAAAGTAGAAGAAATGCATATTAGATACAGTAAACAGAGGTGTGAGATAAAGGAATAATAATAATAACGAAGAACAAAACAGTTTTATTGGAAATCATAAGTCACAAGGAGTGGATAAGACTGTAACACAAAATGTGGCAATCATCGGTTGTCATATTAGGTGAGTTATGACGTGTACTCACCATAAAAACTTTCATAAAAGGGGATAGCAGTGACCGATGAATCTTAAGTCAGGACAAAACAGCTGACCAGTAAACATAGTTATTCCCCTTACTTCTTGTAGCTTACTAAATCTCAGCATCTACAACAAACTAATCGATCTTTTTTGTTAGCATTAACGAAAGGTGTAGTGCTACCATTGATTGGATATATATATATATATATATGCAAGTAATTACCCTGTTACGAAATAGAGCTTTTAGGCACATTGTAGACATGTGACTTTACAATCTTTTGACATTTTTGTATAACAAGGTAACCGGTTTTTTTCTTTTGCTTATCTTGCGTTTTTGTTCCACTATTCAAAAGTGAAAATAATGACGAATATGCACAGAAAAAAATTAAAGAGAGATCATTTTTGGAAATACAATGCTTACAAGAGTATGCAAATTAAAGTACAGTACAATACTAGCAAGAAATAATTACAATGTACGGTACTTTTTGCAATCAACTAATTAAAAATGCTTTAGCGCGCTAACAAGAAAAAAAAACTAATCGATTCTCTTTTTTATTTTTGGTTTAAACATGTCCATTGGAAAGACTGATTAGTGTACGAAAAGAATATTCATTAACGATAACTCCCTCTAAATTAGCTTCTCCGGTCATATGACTATAATAATTAAGATAAAGCAATAAGACGACGTAATTTGTCTGAATCGTGTAATGCTGTACTCGTGCAACACTTATTTCGAACAATCTGATCACACACACACACTAACTTGTCATAGGAATATACGTATGAAGTCAATAAGTAGTTAAGAGGTGGGAAAATAAATTTACGTCAGTTTAAAAGGACACATCGAAGGTCAAATAAAAAAACAATGAAGATCATCACTAAACCGAATAACAGAGGTAATAGTATATCTACCCTGGGTGCTATCAAAACAAATTTTACCAAGGAAGGGCTCCTTTTAGTAGATATCCATATGTCGTACATTGGGAGTTCATCGGATGATTTAATCGAAAATGTACCACTACAATTTACTTGTTGATTAAAGAACAGGAGTAGGAATACCACTGCTCACTGGGTATCAGGTACAGCAGATTGACACGTCCTGAAGGTGTACTGCTCATCAGTCCGCTGCGTACTCCTTTATGGCTCTGAGACCTGGCCATTGAGAGTGGAAGATATGAAAAAATTAGCTATCTTTGATCATAGGTGCCTGCGCTCTATCTCCCGCTTCACTTATTTGGGAAGTACCATCAGCCAGTGCCAACGGGTTGATCTCTGACGAAATCTCAGCACGGATACAGAGGGCTCGTTTCGCATTCGCCAGTTTACGCCGTCTCTGGTGTAGACGTGATATCCGACTATCGACCAAAGGGCGGGTGTACTGCTCATCAGTCCGCTCCATCTTTCTTTATGGCCGACTGTGAGACCTGGCCACTGAGAGTGGAAGACATGAAAAGATTAGCTGTCTTTGATCATAGGTGCCTGCACTCTATCTCCCGTGTGAAGTGGTATAATAAGGTGAGAAATATTGAGGTTAGGCATCAAGTTCTAGGTAAGCAGGGGAAATCAATCGACGAGGTTGTGAAGTTACATAGACTGAGATAGTTAGGACATGTGTTACGTATGCCTGGTCATCGCCTTTCTC